ATTCTCTTTGTTTTAACCTTTCAAAGTCAGGACACCCTGAATCTCTTAGAAAAGAGTTTTGGAATGATGAATTGTGCCACCAGCATAGTGAGGTTTAAGACCATAATTCTGAGCGACACATCATTACTAAGATCTACTTAGATACCATCCCTGCGGAGCTGCATGTGTTGAGTTCTGTGGTTTTTTGCAATCAGTGTATTTCCCTTTAGTGGTAAGCACTAAAAATTACCCTGGGTTCACAGTGTAATTGAAATGTTGAGGCCAGAGGGTGAAGCTATTGACTTCCTCTGTAAATGTAATGGGGCAGTGCTTCTAGTTGACGAAAAACAGGTCTTTGCCAGTGCTACAGTAGTGTTTTGCATACTGTGTGTTTTTGTCGTAAAAGTTCCTTTTATCCTGTGGTTAAGAAATAAAAAGGTTTTAAATTCCATTGTATGAAAGAATTATTAAGTATTATGTGAAGTCTCTTTCATGCCACAGGTAATTTGCTTGTTATATACAGACAAATTCAGGCACCTGGCTTCTTTGCACCTTTGATCATTTAGACATGCATTGCAGTAATTTTACATAGTGCTTTCCACATTGCATTTGAAAATACATTCCACTGTCTGAATTCTAAAAATAGATGGATGTACTTCTTTCTATAACATAAGGCTGCTTTTAACGTCTACCTGGTTTGTACTTGACTGTTTTGAATTTCCTAACTAGATGCTTTGACCTGGAGCTTTACCCTGTAAAGAGAAATGCAACACTACTTTTGCTCTGCCTGTATTTAGTGAATTTGAACTCTTGCTCCCTAAAAAAAATTATCTTTAGCTCTACTGACATACAGAAAATGAGGAAAGTACAGTTTAATCTTTTGGAAAATGTATGTTGATTAGGAAAAAAGTTTATTGTTCCAACTGTACTCATACAATTTTTGCCAAGAATATGACTGATTTCATAATTCAAGTAATTTTTTTTATCCTACAGATTTCCAGGTTTTTTTTTCCTAGAGAATGTATATAAGCATTATAAGATTGAAACGTAGTGAAAGCATTCTGCATATTTCTTCTTTTACTTTTGATGAAAAGATCCCAATATCTGCATTTCAGTAGGATAATTGCATGCTGAAGCTGCAGAAGGCAGTACAGGTGAAAATGCAGAGCTCATTTTCTTCGGGCAAAAGATAGTGTCAGAAACAAGTGATGTAATGGAGAGAAGAAGTAAAAATTTGTAAATCTGATTTTTTTCGTTCATGGCACCAGTCTTCCCATCTGTTAGTTGCTCTGCAGTTTGCTCTGGATGTCCCTGGCCAATTTTGGTCCAATTTCAAGGCAGGAAGAACGTCCCTGAGATAATGAAGTGCCTGGAAATTCAGAGCCACTCAGTGGGTAGATGGAAGAGAAGCCCTGGTTAATGCCTTGCACTGAAGGGGTAATAGGGAAGCTGTTGTGGCCAGTCAGCATGTGTGACTGCCAAAAAAACCATTATTTCCCCTGCAGGGGATCTGACAGGACGAAGGAAGATGAGGGGGTGTTAGAAGCTGTATGAGACTGAAGTCAGTTCTACTACTCATGAAGCAACTTGATACGTTTGTTTCTAAAATAAACCTTAGGCCTTCTTAGAATTCCAGAGCTCCCTGGAAAATCTGTTGACTTCTTTTAAATGGTATTTTCTTCCAAGTAAATCTGCCTTTGGATGAATGAAGACTTTACTGAAGAGATGGAAATTTGCACAGTTGTGGGGAAGAGCTTTGCTGTAGTCCACATATTTTATAAAACAATAATGGGAGTCATGAACCTTAGTTTCAGATTGTGTCATATGACTGCTCTGATAACACTGTTCATGCAAAACTCGGCTTGTTCCTAATAGAAGAAATTACTGAAGGAAAATCTGAAATTTTGAATCTTTTCCAGTTATGTAAATTGCCTAGAGAGATTACTAGATAATATAGTGATTAATCTTGGAGTTTTTTTGAAAAAGACCAGAGTTTAAGCCTCTCAAAATGCAGCATATGGAAGCATGGTTATAGGGTCTAAACTAAAATTGTATTTGTAAATTTAATGTACAGGGTACGGGGGGTGTTTGATTTTGTTGTTTGAGGTACCTTATTTTCATTCAAAGGAGTGAAAGCTTCATCGAAGTTCTAGACAAGCTTCTGGCACTGTGCAAGTTAACAAAATCTGGGGACAGTCAGAAGAGAAAGCTAGGCATAAGTCACCAAGCTGTATTAGTTAACAAGCTGTTTTATTTAACTCTCCTTCTCTTGGGAGTGACAAGTGGTGATACTTGTTTCTCTGCTGGGTTCTGTAGCTCGGGTGTGACAGGACTTCTCTGTACTACATTATGTTGCCTGTAATCAATACAACAAATTGCCTGACAGATTTGAAAGCCTAACCCAGAGTAGCTTTATTTGCAGCATATGTTAGCTGGTATATTTACACTTCATTGTCCTACAAAAGGAAAGTAGAAGTGCAGGTGTGAAGAACGTTGCTCATTAGTAATCCAGTATCTTAGAATATATGTCCCCTGCCCATGCATCTGCAGGAAAAATGTGATGACAAAGGGCTTCAGACTGCACTGAGTAATTCAGTGTAAATAATGTTTCTACATGGCACCTTCCTTTGTAGCATTTGCATAACACTAACAATGTGGGAGTTCTACTCAAGCTTTCCATTTGAGACCAGAGGTGGGAACAGGAAGAAGGTTTTTGGAAAGGCTCCTGTGAAGGGTACTTCGAGATCTCTCTTGGAGTGGAGGTGAAGTGGCCAAGGAGGGTGTGCAGCATCATGGGCCTCACCAGCTGGAGTGCCGCATCCTTAATCAAGTTTGCTCTAGGAGCTCAGGGTTCTTGCTGCTGTGGGAAACCTACAGAGAGGTATTAAGGAATGTAATGTTCACTTACAATTTTTTTTCTAGGGTTTTTAGGACATATGTGCAATGACTGATCAATTTTGAGAGAGCAATTCTAAAAGAAACCTTGTCATTCTGAAGTCTTACATCTTGAAGAAGTAGTGCTGAGTTTGAAGATTTTTGACTCTGATAGTGCAGGTGGTAAAGTTTAAAATTATAGGGATTGCCAATCTGTAAGGGTAAGTCATCATTTAATAAAAACGTATTTTAGTTATGCATGGAAAAAATCCTTGTATGTTAAGAATAGCAAAATAAAGATGTTCTATGAAAAGCAAGATCAGTAATACTGTGCAATATATTTTCCAGCATGCCAAAACTGATTTTCTATGTTTGTTTTTTGGTTTTCAGTTCAGTCAATGAACTTGTTAAATGAAAGAAATGTTAGGAAATTTTTTATCGTAGTTGAGATTAGACTTCTGCTTTCTGAAGTTGGAGCTTACCTTCCTGACTGAGAGCTCAGTACAGTCCCTTTTTTATTCCACTGGTGGACTGCCTTCCAGATGAGGGAAGAGGAAGGCAGGGGGAGCAAATGTGATTATTTTGCTAGCTGATCAACTCGAGTGGCTTCACATGTGCTCCAGTAATTTTATTTTAATGAAAATTTTATTTTCTTGTTTTAGCCGGCTTCAGGAAGAGCTCAGCTTTTCTGATTGCTGGTTAGGTGAGGCTGTGTTAACTTCAAAATTTGTACTTGGTGTTGAGGGACAGTTCTGCTGTTATTCTCTATATATATATCAGCGTTGTGCTTTGAAGTAGACTGTGCAGTTGAGTACTGAGAACCTACTCTTCTAACAGAAATAGGAGCATTTTATTGAAAAGGTCTTAATATTTCAATAGTTCTTGTCTTTACCAACAGTAAGAATTTTTAATTCTGGTTCTCTTCTTACAGTCTGAATGCAGAGAAAGAAGGAATATATCTGTGTTCTGATAAGGCTGGCACTGAGTCTGGAGTGACATGGTGTTGCTTTCTGGGAGTCTTTCAGGAAGGCAGTTCTCTGTGCACAAACTGTTCACCCTTCTCAACACCTCCTGGTCTCAATAAGAGGTATTGGCCTGGAAGTGCAGGTGCTTCAGTGTGGTCACAATTATTGCTGATTAGCCTTATCCTAACCTTATATTTAGAGATTGCTAGATTATCGAGAAGACTCAACTGTATTGTAATAGATTTGCTGTCTAAATAAATGTCCAAATAAATTGAAAGGATTTTCTCTGTGCTCACCAGAGCTAGCACTGTATTTTCCTATGTGTTTCTGTAGGCATTAATGTATGTAGGGATTCTGTCTTAATACAATGGAAATTTTAGGATTCAGAAGCTCAGTCTTAAGCAGGCAAGTAATTTAGTTCTGGCTTTGTGCTGGCATCAGAAAATAGCCAAGGAATAAGCATTGCAGTATTTTTTTTCCATGTTTTGCTTGGAAAAATTGCCATGTAGAGAAATTTCAAATTAAGTAATGTTGCATTTTGTCTTAGACTGGAGATGATGTAAAATAACCAGGTGTGAATAGTAGTAATGTGATTTAGAATGCATTTAACAAATGGACTTTTGTAAAATTTTTCCTAGATTTTGCTCTTTTCATCGTCTACTGACATAAAAAAAACTAAAGATCGTGAGAGCAAGTGGACACTGAGAAGATACTGGTATAGTTGTGTGCACACTGGATTAGGCAAACAGGAATTTCCACAGGAGCAGTCCATATGCCGTTCAGGAACTTGCATGTGGAAAGCAAGTGATTTGTTCTTGGGAGACATTGAGCTTGTAGGTAGCAGTGATGATAGCTTCGGTAAACTTACATGTTCTCAGGAGTTTGATCTCATTAACACGTAAATGTTACCGAGTGCTTAATGGTGTGACAGAAGTCTACTTTGCACAAGAGTACATATGGCTTTTATTCTTACTGAGCCCTCACTGTACTTGGCTGTCCATTTCTTAAATAGAACAGTGTTAGAAGCTTGCTTCCAGTTTCTAAAGATTGCCAGCTGCTTTGTTAGAGTGCAGTTTGAGGAATCAGATCCTGTTTTATAGCCAGTATACTCATTTTTATGGTATAACATGCAAAATGATACTTTCCTATAGCTAAAGCAAGTAAAAAGTCAGATTTTATTTGGCTGAATATGTCACATAAAGAAAAGGAAATGCTAGAAGTTGGTTAAAGAAAGGAAACGCAGAGCTAGTCTACTGAAAATAACTATGGCTAAAATCCAAGGAAGTGGGCACTACTTGAGCTTAACTGGTGAACTGAACTGATTGCTCAAGAGAAAAGGACTTTTCTCTGTTTGGACTCAAGCTGACACTTGACAGATCAATCCTGCTAACACATGTCCTTCTTGGAAGCAAACCTGATGGTGAGTTGTCTTGAGAGTGAATGCAGGAGTATTTTTGAAGAATTAGGCAGCCAAAGTGATGAGTACCTTACTGCACGAGTTTTTAAAACAATTACTAGAACAGCTCTCTTTATATGATTTAGATATTGTGAATTTGTTCACGGCGTGATGGAACCAAATGTTTACAAAATACATCATAAAATACATAGTTGAATTCATCTAATGAGCTTATACATTGATAAAATACAAGTTGTATTTATGTAGAAGAAAAATGACAGTTATGCTAATCTCAGTTATTTTCTTTTGCCCTTAGTTTCTGAAGGAAAAGTGATGTGTCTTGTGTACTCCCTTAGTTTGTCAGGTTTTGGACTAAAATGCCAGTGGAATTGTAGCAGACTGGTATGCATGTGTTAAACAGTCTGAAATGGTGCTGTGCCACCTGCATTTTTTTCCCCCCCACAAGGTTGCTAATTCTGTGAACTGTGTTACATCTTAAAAAGGAGTTGTTACAGAGGGAAGGAAACACTCCAGATATTTTTTTTCCCACTACGGAGAGAGATGGTTTTTGTATTTATTGTTTTTTCCCCTTTTTTAATGTTCATAGGTTTTTGTAACAATTTCAATGATAGGAAAGAACTCAAAATGGAATCATATTTCAACCTTTTCCTGCTGTTGACTGGGTTTGTAGGAACTTTTTTCCTTGTCAGTGTTTGTGACCTGAGCAGTGAAAACACCTTTTCTTCAGACACGTTTTTCCTTTTTTCTTGCTGTACATATCTCAACTTCATTTGGTAAAATCCCCCCAGATTTCCACCAGAGCTTCACCATCATCATTGTCAGTCTACACTTTGTTGGTAAAGGATTTACCCTTTCAAATAATTGTTGCAAGTTCTGGACATTCTGGTACACGCTCCACTGTGTGCTGTCGATGTGCTGACCCTTGTGTATGGTCTTCATATTTACTCATGTAGAAAAAGTAACTGGAGTTTTAGGGAAATGGAAACCCTTTCTGCGAGTATGAGCTATTTCTGTTTCAGAGAGCTCACTGCAGTTTTTAGAGAAAAGTCCAGGTACTTTGAGCATCACAATTTTAGGGAAATTATGCCTCTTTTCTGCTGTTCCTTTTTAACCTTCTAGAATCTGCATACAAAGAGTTGTGAAAGAGTTGAAGTTGTTTCTGAGCTGTTTTTAGTTTAGTTACCTCAAAATATTGAGATCTTAAACTTGGTTTTTAACAACTGGGGAGAACACTTGACTTGGCAACAGATGTGAGGGGACATTGGATAGGCTCTAGATTTTTAAAAAAATTTAATAAATTGCATAATTGAGATTCAGCTCGTGTTCTTGGAATTCTAAATGGTCCCTTCGTTATTTAAAGAGGTGGAACGCTGACTAGCTGTAGAACCTGCATGTCATCATCATCTGTTTTTCAGTCAAAGCTCGGTGAATGATAAAGAGCTCTCTGGGTAATTGAGTGCTGGACTCCAATTGTCTCTGGACCTGAGTTCTTTGGTACCTGCTAATGTTTGATGTATGTCATCTGTCATTCTCTAGTTATGCCATGGGTGTGTCTTTAAATGCTCTGTTGACCTCTAAATGGACAATTCAGTGTGTAAGCTTTGCTTTTATATTTTGAGCAAAGGTTTTTAAAAGTTTAATATTTACAACAAAAATTGTTTAAGTTTTGCTTCTGCATTAAACATTTTGAAGAAAGGCATTGGTAAATTGAATGTTGAAGGCAAAAAGGGAAGCCCTCTCTTGGTTTTATGCCTGTTTTAATGAAGTTTCATACATAATAACTACTCTTAGGAGTAAAAATGATCTCCCAAAAACCATGTTAACAGTAAAGAAAATAAGATTAGATCAGGGGAGTGCTGGACTAGTGGAATTTGATTTAACATCATGACAGGAAGGAAATTTATCTCTTGCAAATGAGGGCAATTGTCAAGCTGGCTGATGATCAGGAATAGTTTTCAGTAGCAGCTGATTCAAATTTACAAGTATAAAGACTGACTTGGAGAAAAACTTTCAGACAGTCCATTTTAAGCAGTAATTGCAATTTACTGTTGCAGCTGTTGCTGCAGTTTGTGAACTTCTTTTACCTGAGACACCTCAGTAAAGGCTCAAGGCTTTTGTCCTCAGCTCACTCTTGTGCCTACTGGAATTTACAATCATTTCCATATTAACCTTTGGCAGCAGCTGACAGGCCAAGACAGACTGTTTCTGAAGATGCTCTTCTACTGTTCTATATTGCTGTTTATGTTATTATCTGCAGTATTTGGTTTAGTATTTAGTACTACACTTTTGCATAAACTGCAGTGGTTTATAAACACTGTCCAGATTGTAGGAAATAAAAAATGGGTTTAGGATTTCCTCGAAACACATTTGAAAATGAATGGAAAGTAACAGGTAATAATGGCTGCTGACTTTATGGAAAGAGTTACACAAATTTGGTTCTGAATTATAACTGCTGCTTTTTAAATAATACACTGTATAGTAGGAGACTTCTAATATAATATGTTGAATACTTTATTAGGAGTTCAGTGCTTCATAGGGAATAAATATGGAGTGATATTTGATGAATCTAAAAGTAGATAATTGATAGTTAAACCAATCACTGCAAGATGATAAAATACTGTATAAGAAGAATTTGGTTGATGTTGATTTTAGTATAGAACAGCAATCTTCTCTTAATTTTCCAGATCTACTTTCCCTCTTCCCTCTGCCTTATTTAGTCGGTGACAGCATTTTTCCACAGTCCAACAAATGTGCAGCTGGCTGCTTTTCCAGCCATGTGTAGGCTGCCCCACACGCTCTGCCAGCATCCCTGCTGCCAGTCCTGCAGGGTGCCAGGTCCTTCCTCGTTCCAGCAATGCTGTCCTGGGGACTTCACTGCCTCAGTCTGCTCTGGCATCTCTGCAGTAACTCCCTGCTCCATAAAACCTTCCCAGACATCCTCTCCAAGATTCCTCAAGCTTAGATAGTTAATGGTGTCTCTTGTGAGGAAGTATATCTGTTCCACCTAGTAATAGTTGCTAAGCAGGACATTTCTTTTAGCCACATGTCATGTCAGCCCTGCCTGCTTCATTACAGACCATCTAACATGAGATGTTATTGTTCTAATTTTTTTTCACCTGAGAACACACACATTTTGTGCTGTGTTGCACTAGTACTGCTGTTCTCCCTTTTGCACAATTAGGTGTTGTAAAGATAATAGAGAATCTCCTGCCATACGTATTTTAAAATGAACCAGAATAGATTTTTTTGTACACAACAGGATCTTGGAAGTTTTCTGACTATTCACATTGGCAAGAAGGGAAGAGGTTGGCTTGGACTCTGGTATTAATTTCCAGGGTTCTTCAGATGAGAAATTGGAACAAGTTTTTTTTTTTTATTTGGTTTGGTTAAAACAAATGAGGCCTTATTTGTATAACTGTCTCAAAGTTAGAGCTGCTCTTTGGCCACATCATTTGTTTGACTCTCATGTACAAGTTTGTTTTATTTCCAGACTGCTTTTATAGAACACATTTTCTTTGACATTTGAAGCACTTTTCAGTCATTTGGCCATTACTGAACCAAAGGGTGAATTGGCCACTTGTTCCCATAGCCTTTCCTCCATCTTTTCCCAAGACAGTTTTCTGTCTCTTGCATCTCCCTGATGTTGTTAGATAATTGTACAGTTTAAACTGCAGGTTATTCTAAGCTGGTTCTGTGACTAATCTAATAGCTTTTGTAGTCACCAGATAAAACGTGTATGTTTCTGCAGAAACACATTTCCTGTATTTCTGAATCTCACTTTGGAATGGGAATGTTAGGTAAGCAGTCAAGATACAGTAAGTGAGATTCATGCTAAAATAAGATTATTGTCTGCAGATTGCAAAAAAGGAATGCATGAAGGAAGGAAGGAAGAAACTTTTCAGTATTTCTTCAATTTCTCAGAATCCCTCTGGTGTTGCAGCCCTGATTTATAGGATTGTCATCCTTCATTGCAGAAGGATGTCAGCATTACAGAATACTGTCAGCATTTCTGTGTAATGCTAACAGTACTTTTACAGGTTTAAAGAGAAGTCTGCTGTTAAAGAGTACAAAGTAGATAAATCTAAATAATTTCTATGACGTTCTCCTAAATTTGAAAAGTTGCTTGTATTGTGCTGTTTCAAAAGAGGCATCCTAAGCTTTTGAATCTTACATACAATATGGGGACCCATCATGACAGCTGTGCCTAAGGAAGTTTTAAGATTCATATGATAGGAATTGCGACACTAAATTGTTTATATTTAGAGTGATTTCAGCAGAAGCAGAAATGAAGGGGGTAGGGAAAAAAGCAAGCACAGTTTGAAAGTGCCTTTCTGTTTGCTTTAGTGTGGTTTCTTAGGATGTTCTTATTTCCCATTTATTCCCAAGAATGCATAATTTGTCAGCTTCAGAAGTATTATTTTGAAGAATGTTATGCAATTCTGACAATTTGTCTTGTTGACTTGACACATAGTTGGGGTGGGAAGGGAGACTGAACAGGAAGGAAAGTCCTTGTTCCTGAGTGTCGTTGCTGCGTAGCTCTCATATCCTCGAGGATCACCCGGACAAAAGCTGAGTCAGAGCACAGCAGCACTCTGCACTACAGCAATGGCCCAGTTCAGGATTTTGGACTGCATGATCAATCACAACTGGAGTTTCATATGTAACCTGTACTGTGCATGGAGCGATCAGGTTTGTTGTTTGCTTATCCTTACATACAAGGTGATTCTATAATTTAGTGTAAGGGGAGAACAAAAAGGCTCCAGTTGATCTCTTCTCCCCACCCCCAGTCTTACTGAGGGTGAACTATTAGAAATGCTGCTATTTACTGAGGAGTTTTCTAGAGTTAGTAAGCATACAAAGCATGGTTTGACTATATAATTGCTTTTTTAAATACTTTGAGTACTTTAGTCTGTTCACGTTAGAGTCTTATGCTTTAAGGGGTTTTGTTTAATGAATTGCACAAAAAGGTAAATATCACATACAGGAAGGGGAGATATGCCAAGACAAACTAAGTTGTTGATAAATATAAAGCTGATTTATTTTCCTGCTTTAAAAAGACTGAGCATCTTGACTGTTTACAATACTTGATTATGAATATGATTTTAAAAAGTGTGAGGGGAGGCTGTTACCTTTTTTCTTTTTTAATATACAGGATTAAATAAATCACAGGATGCTATTCAGTTCTTAATACGGACAGATATAATTCTAATTCACTACATTGCTGTAGAACCGGAGGGGGGGAAAACCCAAACAAACAAAATTGCCTGAATTCTGAATAAAAATGTTTTAGAATAGAATCCACTTACTAAAGGTTTTTAAATAGTGTATGCAGTTGTAATACTACTTTAAAGTTACTCTGGAATTAGCTGTATTTCTCATATAACATTTCAGCCAGCTACTGAAAAAAATTTATTTAATTTTTGTTTGGTGTAAGGTTGCAGTGTTTGAGTACAGTTACTAGATACAGGTGATTCAGAATTTTTTTCTGCTATACATAGAGGTCCTTCGAAGTAATCTGCCATTTAAAAATGCCTACAACCCCTGTATGTCACATCTGTACTGAAGCTTCTTAATCAGGAAAATACACTGCTATGTGATGATGGTATGTTTTGGTTTTTGTTTGTTTGTGGGTATTGTTTTAGTTCTTTTGTTAATGGTGCAAAACCTGATTGATAGTGCCTGGGTTTATCAGATAGTCTAGTTAATATCACAGATGAAAAGAATCTTCTGTTGAATGTGAAAAAGCAGAGGAAACATGGTACATTCTCTTAAACTTTCTAATTTTTACAGATGCCAAGCTGTTTAATCTAATTTGCTTTCATATGTGTAAGAATAGTCAAATGCAATATGACAATTGCTTCTGATGCTTCACAGGAATCAAGAAGAAATAAGAAAGGCTTAGGATGTGGGCAGTCCTGCAAAGTTTTAAAGTGCATTTTATATGAGCATATTGAAGTAAAAGGTTTTAATGAAACCGAAACATTATCCCCACCCCAAAACCAAACTCCAAACATTTCCCCTCCAACCAAATCCAAACAAACCAACAAAAAACCCCCAAACAAACAAAAACCACCAAAACCCCTTCACCCCAATGCAGAACAGGGTTCACAATCTAAAAAGTGTTTCTTACCAATATGGAAGGAAGAAACAAGCTTTAGATCAGAATACCCTGAATTAATTGTATGCTTGAGGTAGTAATGTTGCAGAACTCTGTGATCTTGCTAGATTTTATCAAGTAGACTATACAGTTGTTATGTGTGTTTGGGGTTGTTTTGTTTACTTTAACTGAAGTCCAGTCTCTGTAAACTATACAATTTAATGAACTACTACTGATACTTCTCTTTGAAATGAAGCTGGAAGTTCATCTATGGGATATTACAGTGGGATATTTCTCTGTTCCTGCTGCACTGAAATGCCATGACAGAAGTGGAAGCTGCCAGGCCTAGGGAGAGGTGCATGCTGCTCCCCATAGCAGTGCTGCTCTCCACCTTTCCCATCGTGCAGTGCCCAGGCATAAAGAAAGTGTGGCATAAAAGTTACTGTGGCTGGGCACAGTTGCCCTTTGCACCCTGATACAGCAAGCTGTTAAGTGTATTAGAATGTTTTCAAATGGTATGCAATGTTTCATACTAAACCAAAAGCCCTTAAAATTATTCTGTGATGTAAATCAGTGAAGTTCTGTTGGCATCAGTGAATTATAATTTTTAGGCCAAGCATTGGATGGGGATTGATGGCTATCACATGCTGATCTATAAATAATTACTCAGAAGCCTTCAGTGACAATAAACTTGATTGCTTGCAGTTTTTCATCCTTTTTTTTGTTCATGGGAGAACTGCACTACTTGTGTTAAAAATATTTCTTAAAATGGGTAAAGTACCAAAATGTCTTGCTTCTTGCATATGTTGTGTGTGACAGTTGTCTTGTGGGACATGGGGTAGACTCCAGTGTGAGAGTCTTACTGGGAATTCAGAACTTCAGCGTGACTGCCAATGTAGAATTAGTGGAGTAGTGGGTAAAACATTTGTATCCTATGGGGGATCTCAGTAAATTCAGCTTTATGTGCAAATTTGTTCATACTTATCCAGTACTGCCCTGACAGTGTCACAGATGATTAATTCTATTTTTAATATAGTCTGAGCTTAGCAAACAAGGAATTTTTAGTGTTTTTTCTTAAGGAAGAAAAAAGAGAGGGTGAGAGTGCCTTAAATAGTTAAGGCAATTTTTTTTCCATATGATAGTCTGATATTTATGGAGTTATCATAGAATCATAACTTAGCATACTAGCTGTGGTCCAGGAGGAGTGCCTCAATGAATGTGTGGAAGAGGTAGGTAATGTTTTTCCTCAGTAACATATGAACTAGGCTCATCCCCAGTAAGATGTAACAGGAGTGAGCTATTCTCTCTGTCCTTGTAAGGATGTCTTTTATAAGACTCCAGCCCGTGAACAGACTCTGGAGATGGCCTGGTATGCCAGTTGACCTTGTGGCCATGATGAGATACAGTAGAGCCAGTATGCCTGAAACAATAAATAGCACTGCTTCAGATGATTGGAAGAAATACTGGTAGGTAATACACATAGGTGATACAGTGGTTTTGGGTTTTTCCCTCCTTTTATCACAAATGCCTTTCTTTTGTGTATTAGATAGGAAACAGACCACAAATTGAGTGCAGGTTGTGTTCTTACCAGCACAGAGCATAGGTCAGCCCTGTGCTCTGAGCACACTTCTATTAGTTTGAGGAGAGCAGATCAGATCTTCTCCTGTCCTGCTCTCATTGGTTCTTTGATAAACTGCATTGGGCTTCTTTATTTTTAGTCTTATTGCTGCACCCTAGCCCTAAAAATAATTATAATGTTCTTTCAGCCATGTAAATACTTGACTCTTGTGTTTTTCAGCCAGGCGTAAGGATTTTGCAAGTTCTGTAAACTTGCAGTTGGTCAAATTTCACTGCACAGTGAATTTCATCATTGTAGTTGTTGGTCTTGGAGAAACCTTCTCCTCAAAGCCTATTTTGATGTACATGAAGGTTTGCTGTTATGTGGTGACCTAGCAGCCAAGGTGTCTGATTTCTGTTCTTTTAGCTGGAGTTCATTATTGCACGCAGTGTGTGAGAATGCGATGTTGTGGTGCGAGCCCAGCTCTCACATCACCTTCGTTCAAGCCCAGAACGCAGCAGTGCTGCAGCAGCTGCTGCACTGCAGCTATTTCCCTTCCTCCGGAGAATCTCCAATAACATTAAAAATGCTTTTCGGTCTTCCAAATGTGTCACTTGGAGGATGAAATAACAAAGGTGTCTGCATTTCTTTTTAGATATTTGCAGCTGATAATGGTTTTGAAATGCGATATTTGTTATCTTACTGTGCTTTTACTTCTGTGCATCTGCTGCCTCTGAGAGGGAGGGAGGCAGTATGATAAAAATCTGTCTTGGTAGCAGTGCAGGGTGTGCTGTTTTCAGTTTAAGCAAAAAGTATAAAATCATTGCGTGAAAAAGCTGGTGACTTAACTCATTGTAGGGATTCACATTCCTGGAGAAACATTTTGTAATGTCCAGAAGTACAGGGAAATAACTTGGCAACAGTGCCAAGTTATTCAAGCCACAAAAACAGGCATGCAAAGACAAGTAGTTCTTAAATAAGCAAATAGATTTGTGTTAAAATAAGATTTTTCTTTTTTCTCTTCCCCACTCCAACGTCCAGACAGAGAAACAAATGTAGATGTCGTTATCTATATCAACCATTCTTACTGATATATGCAATGCAAACTGTGAGGAAATATATGCAGGTCACATGATCATGTCACAAGTCAACGTTCAAAAGCTTTTGGATTTGCAGTTAAACTGAAAATCCTGTGGAAAACTTTCTCTTCTTTATCCTCTTAGTGGCATCTCTGGGCATAAAGGTTTAATATATTTTTTTTCAGGTTAATGACTTCATACTCCTTTTTAAGCATTTTCCTTTGTATTGTATCTTTGTAAAAGAAGTTATTCACTGAAAAGGCTGCTTTTTTCCCCTTTGTCATATATGCACAATAGCTTACAAATTTAGAGGTTGATCATAATTTTGGTGTTTGGATATGTGGCTGTGCATCTGTGTATGTTAATTTTATTTTATTTCACTTTACAATGGACAAGCCTTTTCGCTTCCACGTTTAGGGCTTTGAAACGTAAGAGTGTGTTGAATTGCATGTTATATAGAATGTTGAAATTAAATGTCTTGAAACGCCAGGACCAGGATTGTTTTTAAGTGGTGAGTTTGCAGGAGTTTATTAATAAGTCACTATATTAGAAAGCTTTAACATTGAGTATCTCGAGCTGTATGTAGATACAGAGGTTATTTTTGGAGAGGGAAGTTGCGTATGTGGGGAGGTAATGGATCTTGACACACTGGTCTTTTTTGTTGTGTTTTGAGCCCTGTTCTCTGTGTTAGAGTTCCTGTGATGTTTTTTAGCCTTGATCCACACAGTTATTCTTAAAACTCCCCTCATATGTCGAGGTAAATCTTCTGCAAATGGAGTCATTCTGGAATAACAACCCACATGCAATAACCATGTTCTTAAGGTTACTGTTTAGGTTTGACATTGAAGGATAAAATCCCTGATCTTACAAAGGCTTCTCTTTGGCTTTGGGCAGGTCAGGAGACTTTTCTGATATACGTGAAATAAAATCCGAAATGCGGCAGTAGTGCAGTGTT